CTAGAGCGCTGTGGCCTAAGTCTAGCTAACAGCAACCTCAAACTCCTGGACTTGAGCAATCCTCCTGCCTCTTAGTAGCTGGGACTACAGGTGTTGGCCACAACACCCGGGTAATTTTTTCTATTTTTAGCAGAAATAGGGGTTTCACTCTTGCTCAGACTGGTCTTGAAGTCCTGAGTTCAAGCAATCCTCCCACCTTGGGCCTCCCAAAAGTGCTAAGATTATAGGCATGAGCCATCATGCCTGGTCAGCCTCTACCTCTTAAAGGGAGGAATATCAGAGAATTTGTGGATATATTTTAATCCACTGTAGGCAGTGTCATTCCTATCCCAGGCTGAGTCTTTAACTAACTTGCCCCACATCACACCAGGAAGGGGCAAGAATGGAATTAGAGTTTAGGTCTCCAACACCTGAGTTCTTTCTCTCCTGCCTCCACAGGGGTCCCTGAGAAGATGTCACCAAATTCTGCATCTGTGTGCACACAAACACCTCAGCTGCCACCACTTCACTGGACTTTGTCTGCTTTCCCTAGGCATGGTGGCTACTCATTGCCAAAGCAGTGTCCAGGCCCTGTTTTATAAAGAAAGCCAGCTCCATTAGTTTAGTTTTTTGGTGGGGAGGGCACAAAAACTACTGACACTTTCCTCCACCTCTCTGTGTGACACTTGCCTCCCAGGTGCCAGGCCGTGCAACAGAGCCAGCTATTAGAGGGTCAGCTCACTGGGCCTGGCTCCTTCCCTCCTTGAGTAAGTTATTTCTTGAAAGTTCCTTGGCCTCTGGAACAAGGTTTTAGTGAGCCCTGACCCACCAACTCAAGGTTCAATTCCAAAGTGTCCGAGTCCAGCCATGGTCCCAGGCTAGACCCAAATCTATGGTTTCTACCATCAAGAGCAGGGACAGCACAGCCAGGGGAGTCTGCACCCAGGGCAGCCATCAGGCATAAGACACAAATATGAGTCCAGATGCCACCTTATGGTATGTTGCCTGGGTCAGGGCTGGCTTGAGGCCTGGAGGGGCCAGACTGCCAGGTGGATCTCAGGGCTCCCAGCAGAGAAGACTGGGACAGGGGGCCCCACAGGCTGTCTCTCTTCTCCTCTCCCTGCCTTGACCATCAACCATTGCCAGGAGGTGCTTCCTGAGTCTTCAAAGAGCCAGAGGCACCTGTGGCTCCGGTATGTGATAGAACTTGTTCGATCACTCCCAAGTAGGCAATTAAGAGCAGATTCCCCACGCTGTGGGCAATCTACGTTACGCCTCCCCAGAGCTGCTTCCCTGCAAGTGGGAGGTCAGACAGGCTTATTGTCCTACTTTGCAGCTGCCTGTCCTTGGATAAGTTTCCAAGCTCTAGGTGATCCATTTGTAAAATGGGAATATTGAAGGCATTTTCCTGGGAATGCTGTGAGAATCAAACTAGTGACTGAGGGGAGCACCTGGCCCAGCCCCAAGTGTGCAATATGTGCTCCTAGGTTAAGGTGGCCAGATTTTAACATTGGTAAAGTGGGACACCATTGGCGGTGGGGGGGGTGTTCTTAATTAAAAATTTGGTCTATATGGAGCAACAAAAATTTTCATAGAACATAAAAATAGTATTGTAATATATATATTTTTAATTTCAACATAAGTACAATTTACAAATATAATACATTTAAAAAAATTATGTATAGGGCAGCGCCTGTGGCTCAAAGGAGTAGGGCACTGGTCCACTTGGGCGACCTTGCCCAGAAGGGGAATAGGGAGTTTACATTAGCCTTTTCATTTCCAAATGAAGTTACATTAACCTCTTCATTCCCAAATGGAGTTACATTAACCTTTTTAGCATATACTCCCTTCCCGTTGTCCCACCCTTCCCTAGTTTGTCATGCATTCTTTCCAAAAATCGGGACTTTTTAAAAATGCCACGGGACGCAGGACAAATTGTTAAAAATCAGGACTGTCCTGCCAAAAGCAGGACATCTGGTCACCTTATTCTAGGTCATCATTGACACTCAGGGGGTGGCCCCATTTGGTACGCGAAGTGTCATGGTGCTGGTCCCAGGATTTTTTTTTTAACGGAGACAGAGTCTCACTTTGTCGCCCTTGGTAGAGTGCATTATAGCTCATAGCAACCTCAAACTCTTGGGCTTGAATGATCCTCTTGACTCAATCTCCCAAGTAACAGGGACTACAGGTGCCTGCTCAGGCTGGTCTCGAACTCCTAAGCTCAAGCAATCTACCCTCCTCAGCCTCTCAGGGTGCTAGGATTAGAGGCATGAGTCACCACACCCAGCCCCCAGGAATGTTTTTATGGGTCTCAGCTACTTGCCATCAGTCCAGGGACACTGTGGGCCCACTGAGATAGAATCTTGCTCCGTGCTGACCTTCAGTTCACTTCCTATGGGTCAGACTCCTAAGATGGTCTGGATGCAGAGGGAGGGCTGCAGTCAGGGGCCTTATCAAGGGATGGAGAAGAAATAATCCTCAAAGATCAGTAGAGAGCAGGGTCCACTGCATCAGACCACACAGAAACCACTGGACATCTGGGCATCTGGGCGCGTGTACCCAAAGCCATGCTGCTGCATTTTAAGGGCTTCTTGGAGTCATGACTCATGTGGCCCAAATATGATTTGACTGCTTATTAAGAATCCCACAATAGACAGGACTCTGTTTTAGTTGGAGCTGGCCTGAGACAGGTCCTTAAACATTCACGTGCGTCGATGTGAGTAAAAACCAAAAGTATGCAGTGAGTTAATGATGAAGACACATCTCACAATGCCCATCCCTGCCTGGGGCACTCTGCAGCCTACCCTATGGCCCCTAGCCCCAAGACACTCAAAGACAGCCATGTTCCTGCTCTTACAGCTGCTGCATGTGGCCCTAAGGGAGGAAAAGAATTTACCTGTGAGTTCCTGCGGTGCACCAGGCATCTGTGATCCTGGTGACCACCCTTCTGTGAGCGATGCTCTGTTCCTCTGCTACTCACAAGCATGAAGAAATTGAGGCTCTAAGCATACAAGTTGCCCAGAATCACTGTGCAGTCCTTCCTGAGGCCAAAACTGCCTTTTGTGCTACGCCCCACCTCCCCCATCATCTTGTTGGGCCTTCCCACAGCCTGGAAGAGATGGCAAAGTTGGCCTCCCTCTGCAGGCAAGGAGATGCAGGGGCCAGGCTGAGACTTGGTCTCCTTACACAGCCCGTGGACATCTCAGAGGGGAGGAGTCCACAGGGCAGAGAGAGCACCTCACATGTGGCCTCTAAGAACAGGGTTAGTAGGACCACATGGCCATTGTGCAGGCTGAGACACTCCATAGTCATCTGCATCTTCTTTGAAGGCACACACACCCCTCCTTGTCCCCACAGGTCCTTGTAAAATAGCCTCTGGCTTCCCTGGAAGGTACAGGGTCAAGGGGATGCCAGCAATGCTGGCATCTCAGCTCAGCCCCAGAGCAGAGCAGAATAGACAGACTCTAAATACTGGCCTGAATGGGGTCCTGTTCTAAGATATCAAATACAGATTTATGAGAAAGGAAATTATGAGGGTTGTACCTAACCACTCCTTTAAAAAGCACACTCCACGCTTTGTGAGAAATGGTTGAGTTTACCAGTGGAGGAGGCAGGTGTCATTAGGTGCAGTGTGATAGTTAAATTTTGTGTCTACTTGACTGGGCTAAGGTATGGCCAGAAAGCTGGCAGCCCATTCTCTCGGGGTGTGTCTGTAAGGGTGTTTTGGAAGAGCTCAGCATCAGAGTTGGGGACCTTGAAGTTGGAAAGCCTTGAAGAAGGTTTTCCTCCCCAGGGCAGGTGGGCCTCATGCCATCCTGAACAGAGCAGAAAGGTGAAGGAAAGTCAATTCCCTTTCTGCTAGGACTGGACATCCTCCTTTTTATGCCCCCCCAATATTGGTGCTCCTAGTCCTTTGGACTCAGACCGGGACCTATCCCAGGGACCGCCAAGCTCTTGATTCCTAAGTGTAAAGCGGAACTGCACTGTTAGCTTTCCGGTGCCCCAGCTTGCAGACAGCAGGTCATGGGACTTCTCAGTCTCCACAGTCACACGAACCTCATACTCAGTCTCTTTCTGTCTATGTGCTCTGTCTGGAGACCCCTGGCTAATTCACACAGTCTCACAGTCCACATCTCCGGCCTCACATGACTGGGAGGGTCCTTGCATCTGACTTGGTTCCCACAGCATTTTGAGCTTTAACACTGACAGCTTCCCTGGTGGAAAATGGTTATTTTTTATCCTCAGTGGAACATTTCAAAAGACATCCCAACTGTTCAGCCTCCTGTCTCCCCTTTAGCCACATCAGCATCCCCTGGCTCACAATGTTGGAGTGCTGAGGACGGGGGATCCCCCCAGCCGCTGCAGCCCTGGGGTGTTGGCATGAGGGTGGGGTTTGTGTCTCCCCTGCATGCTCTGTGCAGCTCTCAGCTCCATCATTAGAGGGCAGTTCACAGCAGTGGCAGGTGGGGCTGTTCATGTTATTACCCCTTCTGAGGAACCCCTGGAGTCCCGGAGACAAATGCAACCCTGACCCTGCCCTCCCCCAGAGCTCAGTTTTCTCCTACTGTTGCTAGAAATCGAAACCTAGCTACTGCCGAGGGCCAATTGGACATCCTCAAAAGATATGTTCACCCAGAACCTCAGAATTTGATCTATTTTGGAATAAGGGTCTGTACAGGTGTAATCAAGGTGTCTTGTGACAAGATCATCTTGGATTAGGGTGGGCCCTAAATCCAGTGGCAAAGTCCTTGAAGAGAAGAGAAGGGAAAACAAATACAGAGAAGCAAGAAGGTTTGTGAAAATGAAGACAAAGACAGTGATGCAGCCACATCCCCAGTGATGCACGGAACCACAGAAAGCTGGGAGAGTCAGGAAGGGTCCTTCCCCGCAGACTCTGGATGGAGCTTGGCCTGCTGACACTTTGATTTTGGACTTCCAGCCTCCAGAACTGTGAGAGAATTTCCTTCTCTCTTTTCCTTCCTCCCTCCCTTCCTTCCTTCCTTTCATTCTTTCCAGAAAATCAGGAGAAAGCATGAACACAGTCCCCCACTGACAAATTATGCGGTCAAGGTTCCCACATTTAAGAACATCGGAGGGCTCAGCACATCCACAGTGCACTGGATAAGCCTCGCCCTGGGAAAATCATCTCCATGATCATGGTATCTCTCCTGCCAGGTAAATTTTATAGAGAGAGAGAGATTATTTTTTTGACAGAGTCTCCCTCTGTGCCCTGGGTAGAATGCCATGGCATCAGCCTAGCTCACAGCAACCCCAGACTCCTGGGCTTAATCAGTCCTCCTGCCTTAGCCTCCTAAGTAGCTGAGACTACGGGTGCCTATCACAAAGTCCACCTAATTTTTCAATTTTTAGTAGAGATGGGGTTTCACTCTTGCTCAGGCTGGTCTTGAACTTCTGAGCTGAAGCAATCCTCCCACCTCTGCCTCTTAGAGTGCTAAGATTACAGGCATCAACCACTGCACCTGGCCAAGAGAATGAATTTCTGCGGCAGTGTCACCAAGGGCCTCACTGGGATGGCCCTTCAGAATGGGGTTCAGGGGAGGAGTACTTCAGGGGGAAAGGGCTGCCTGACCTTGACCCTGACCCAAATGTGACCTGGAAGTCAGTGTCCACCATGTGTCACTGTCTACCCCTACCCAACTGTCAGCATTAGGTCCCCCAGTCATGCGGTTGTGGCATCCCTCTAGGGTAGGGAGGCAGAGACATACCAGGTTATAGCTGCATGGACCTAAGAGGGGTCTCAGCACACATTCTTGGTCCTCCTGACCTAGCCCTCCCCTGGGTGGCCAGGCATGCATGGTCAACAAGGCAACAGAATCTCTGATTAGACGCCTGATTGCTGCACCAGGCAAGGAGGATTCTGCTAGTCACTGAGCAAAGGTCGGGCAGAACTTGCTGCAAATGTGTTTGCTCAAAACACAACCCTCTCCTGCCTCTGTCCCCTGGGCAGTCATGTGCTGGCTGAACAGGGCTCAGCTCCACCCTAGCGTCTCTCCTCAACCCTCTACCCGCCACGTGAGTCATCCATTGGTGTCCAGGTGCCTCCTTTGGCCCTTCCTTAAAGTTGGTGGTGCTTTTCCATAGGCTTTTCTTTTTCTTTTTCTTTTTTTTTTGCAGTTTTTGGCTGGGGCTGGGTTTGAACCCACCACCCTACTCCTTGAGCCACAGGCACCACCCCCATAGATGCCTTACTCTGTCACCCTGGGTAGAGCCTGGGGGTTTTAATCCCTATTTGAAAATGGTTCCTCTGGCATTGAGTTTTTCTCATGAATTTTTAATGACTTTTTTTCACTGTGATAAAAGACGTATAACATAAAATTTACTATCTTAACCATTTTTAAGTATACAGTTCAGAGCTATGTCCATAATGTTGTTCATTCATCACCACCATCCATCTCCAAAGCTCTTTTCACCTTATAAAACTGAAACTTTGCACCCATTAAACACTAACTCTTCATCTGCCCTCCCACCCCCAGCCCCTGGCAAACACTACCCTATTATGTATGTGTCTGGTGCCTCGTGTAAGTGGAATTACATAGTTTTTGCCTTTTTGTGACTAGCTTATTTCACTTAGCATAATTTTCATCCACATTGTAACCTGTGAAAATTTCCTTCCTTTTCAAGGCTGAATAATATACCACATTTTGTTTGTCTACTCATCTGTTGATGGATAGTTAGGTTGCTTCTACAGTTTGGCTATTGCGAGAATAATGCTGCTATGAACATGGGTGTACAGATATCTCTTTGAGACTCTATTGTTGTTTGTGTTGAGACAGAGTCTTACTCTGTCACCCTGGGTAGAGTGCCATGGCATCACAGCTCATAGCAACTCCTGGACTCAAGTGATCCTCTTGCCTCAGCCTTCCCAAGTAACTGGGACTACAGGTGCCCACCACAATGCTGGGCTAGTTTTTCTAGTTTTAGTAGAGACAGAATCTCACTCTTACTCAGGCTGGTCTCGAACTCTTAAGCGCAAGCAATCTACCACCTCAGCTTCCCATAGTGTTAGGATTACAGGTGTGAGCCACCTGCTTAACCGAGACCTTTTTGTTTTTTTCAAGACCCTGTTTTAATTCATCTGGGTATATACCCAGAAGTGGAATTGCTGGACCACATAGTAATACCATTTTTTAATTTTCTGAGAAACAGCCATACTGTTTTCCATAGGGGCTGCACCATTTTCCATTCCCACCACTAGTGCACAAGTTTCAATTTCTCCGCATCTTCACAAGTGCTTTTTTTTTTTTTTGAGACAGAGTCTCACTATGTTGCTCTCAGAAGAGTGCAGTCGCATTGCAGCTCACAGCAACCTCAAACTCTTGGGCTCAAGAGATTCTCTTGCCTCAGCCTCCCAAGTAGCTGGGACTACAGGTGCCTGCCACAACGCCCGGCTATTTTTTGCTCGCAGTTGTCATTATTATTTAGCAGGCCCGGCCTCATTCAAACCTATCAGCCTTAGTGCATGTGTCCAGCTCCATAACCACTGTACTATGGGCGCTGAGCCCACAAGTGCTTATTTTATATTTTTTAGATAGTGGGCATCCTATCTAAAATAAGATGTGAGGTGGTATCTCATCATGGTTTTGATTTGTATTTCCCTAATAATTAGTGATGTCGAGCACCTTTTCACGTGCTTACTGGCTCTTTGTGTGTCTTCTTTGGATATGTGTTCAGTTTTGTCCTTTCCTCATTTTTGTTTTGGGTGTTTGGTTTTCTTGCTGCTGAGTTTTAGGAGATCTCTATAAATTCAGGATATCAATCCCTTCTCATACTATTTGTAAATATTTCTCCCATTCTACGGATTGACTTTGTGTTCCATTGATAATGTCTTTTGATGAACAAGTGTTTTAATTGTCCATGGTCTAATTTGTCTATTTTTTCTTTTAGTCCTTTAGTTTTTCTCATAATTTTTTGCAAACTTAATTTTGAAAAATCTTGCCAGTAATACATGAATTAATTTGTTTTCAGTCTTTTTTTTCTTTTTCTTTTTCTTTTCTTTTCTTTTCTTTTCTTTTTCTTTTTTTTTTTTTTTTTTTTTTTTTTTTTTTT